AACTTGACATGCTTAAGACTTGCATGCTTCAAATGCCAGAGTTTCTGAGCCAACATTTTGGTTGCTAAACAAGAGCGATGTTAAGTGAGTTTCACCACATATTACAAGTTGGCCACGCCCACCCAGTCACATGACTGCCAAGCTACTCCCACTCAGTTACATGGCTGGCAAGCCACTCCCACAAAGCAGGCCACACCTACAGAAGAGGTTCTAAAAAATTTTGAAAACCACCACTGGTCAATTTGTCATAGATTGCATACAGGAAACATTTTCCCCAAATTACAAACAGACTTGTTGAGTTGGGGCCTAAAACCCAAAGCCTTGGATTCTGGGTTGGCTCTTTTCATATAAATGCAGTGGCTCGGTCCAGGAATTGGTTTCAATTTTTTTACTACTGGTTCTATGGGCGTGGCTAGGGTGTATGTGATTGAGTGGGTGTGGCCAACTTGATGTCACTCACACACACTCAGTCACATGACACCCCCACCAAGCCACGTCCACCAAAATGGTAGCAAAAAATTTTGGGACTCCGACAGGAGGTGGGGGAAGAGTGGGAAAACTCCCCAAAATAGACTGCCGGAGGATTTAGGGTGTAGAAAAGCCATAAGTTTCTCAGAGGGAATCAATTCAAAGCATTCAATTTTGCAGCCCAGAGGCCACACCTGTGTTTATAAATCTGGTGGGCAAGTGGCGGGGGGGGGGGGGGGGAAAAAAAAAAGAAAAAAAGGGGGGGGGGAGGGAAAACAACAAGAAGAAAAGGGTGGGCGATAGGAAAAATGCAGGCGGAGGTGCTAGACTGTGCAAGCAGGGTGGGAGAGAGGAAAGCTCACCCGATCCTAGCTCGGGACAAGGGGGGGATGAGGAATGGAAGAACCAGCTGCAACCCCCCCCCCCAAATACCCCCAGGCGTGGCAGGGGCCATGGGAAATTGCTCCGTGCAGTGCATTTTTGGGTGATTTCAGGCAGCGGGGATCCACATAGTTCCCAAAGCGGCCCGGATAATTGCATTCAAAGCCTTTTCAACAAAATCGTTTTTGAGCAGCAGCACCACAATCCCCTCCCTGATTCCAAAAAGGGTGCATGCAGAGGCCCAAAAGTGCATTGCGTTTCAGGTGGCTGGCAGTTCCATTATGCGCTGCCACCTGAAAATGCTTTCCACTTTTGCAATGCACTTTTTTGGCTTCCACATGCACCCTTTTTGGAATCGGGGAGGGGATCATGGTGCTGCCGCCTAAAAACGCTTTTGTTGAAAAGGCTTTGGACGCAATTCCCGGGCCACTTCCGTAATCAGGCTCCATGTGGAAGTGAGGATCCCCGTCGCCTGAAACCACCCAAAAATACAATGTGTCGAGCGATTTTCCATGGCCCCTGCCACCTCTGGGAGTGTTTGGGGCGGTTGCAGCCAGTTCCTCTGCCCCTGTCCTGAGCCAGGATTGGGTTAGCTTTCCTCCCTCCCTCCCACCCTGCTTGCACAGTCCACTGCCTCCATCTGCATTTTTTGCTATCTCCCACCATTTCCTTCCCGTTGTTCTCTTCTCTCCCTCCGCCACTTGTCCACCGGATTTATAAACATAGGCATGGCCTCCGGGCTGCAAAATTGAATGCTTTGATTCCCTCTAGGAAACTTATGGCTTTCCCTGGCTCTGTGCTCCGCTACCCACCCGGGCCCTCCTTGGCTGGGCACCTCCCATTGCTACTGCTCAACTTATCCATTCCAGGGATTTGATGAAGCCAACAGGGGTGGGTTCTGGCTGGCACTACTGCTGGTTCACTCATGTATGTACTTTGCTGCGCAAAACAGGAGGGCGCCGCTGATGGTGCCAACCAGGGAACCAGTTTGGGGGCATGGCAGGCCTGGATCACTGCCGATTCCAGCAACCCAGGCCGCCAAACCGCCAAATCGGCTGTAGGAACCCACCACTGGCTCAGTCTTTACCATGATGGAACCAGCCCAGTTATAGGCTGGTCTACCTTTTCCTAGAACATTACAGAATTGCAGGAGCCCCACAGCCTTATGCAAAGTGCCTGAGTGGCCCTAAATTAACTTTTACTCTGTCTCCTAAATGTTGCCAATGGTTATTCTACTTCTCTTAAGTCTTCACCATGGTGACAAGGTTCAAACATGAATGGATGGAGAGCAGTGGTGGGTTTCAAAAATTGTTTGAACCTACTCTGTGGGTGTGGCCTCCTTTATGGGAGTGGCTTGCTGCCTATGTGACCGGATAGGAGTGACTTGCCGCCCATGTGACCGGATATGAAGATGCCGACAACACTTGACAGAACCACCTTAAATTACCTCACACACAGCACTGGCATGCATAAGAATATGATGTAAACTTGTTTTTTAAAAGGCATCTTTGGTTT